AAAACAACACACAGCAAAACAAAACAAACAAAAAAGTGGGGAGGGCTGTTTCCTGATGCTCATCAACTTACTTGGAATAGGGAAAATTGAAACATAATGTAATAATAGTGCCACAGCCCAACCCAGAGATGTCTTTGCTGTCCTCTGGTTTTCTCATAATCAGTCACTTGCTAGCCATCAAGAACTTGCCACAATGCCCCAGGTACTCACACCCCACTATGTATCCAACTCTCAGGAACTGAGAAGTAGCAGAGTGCTTGAAACAATAAGAACAGAAATGAAAAAGACCTTAAGGAAATTTCACAAAGCCCCTTGGCACCGATCACGTAAAAGGTTTGCCAGCAAAGTCAAACATCCCACACTACACAATTGTTGTCAGTGGAAAAAGAGGATACAGAAAGCAGAGATGCTGAACATCCTAATGAGAAGGTGATCTTCCCATCAGAGACCAGATACTCAAATTCTAGCTCTTCTGTAAAATTTAGACCACAAATAAATCCTTCCTAAGGCACACCTAGCAATCTTTTGTGCTTGGCTCTGCTGTTTGGACATGCATAGTTGTTTTCCTTCCAGTCACAAAACCGGTTTTTAAGAGCTTATGAAAATATTCATATTTTTGTGATATGCGATAAGCAGGTTTTACTCTATATCTCATGTGCTAATTTGCTTGGGGCACATACACAACTTACTAGGCTCACCTTCCCAGTGACACGCTATAGTATGCAATTAAGCAGGGCATTTTTTTTTTCAAAGGTGTCAAAATGAATCATGTCTGGAGTCCAGAAAAATGCATTTGCAACAGTCATGAGACTGGGTGACCAAAAAATGTCCGTAAAACTTTTATTTTGTATTGTACCTGTTCAACCTATAAGAGTCTGTGTCACAATTTCCTGGTCTCTAAACCAGGTATTTTGGACACACAAAGGATATTAGTGTTATGCCTTTTCAACTTGTAAAGACAAGGCCACTTGGCAACTCTTGGGAATTTCTAAACCATGCTTTCCAAAACACAAAGGGCAAGTGTGACCCATAACTTTAGAGAAGGGCAAGTAACGTTCTACCTCTGGCTCAATATTTAGTTTATTTCACTTGATGTAAGTTTTTATGGCAACCCTCTAATACCATGAAAGCGTATTCAAAGTAATAAGTGAAACTTGTGAAAGTCCATTTTTTTTTATTTAATACATTCTAATCAAATAGTAACAGCAGTAAATAAACACTTTGAAAAGCAGGCATGTATCCCCCTATATCTGGAAGAAAATTAAGTCAAAGTATTCTACATGGTAGAAGGGAGACAACTGCTAATGTCTATGGTTAGACCACTTGGAAATTCCTAAAGCCATTTCCAAAAAATCAATGGCAACAGGTTGTGGGACGCAGCTGTTTCAAAGGGTAAAATGTCTCTATCTACATGGTTTTATTAACAGGGATTGAGTTGCACCTGTATAGCATGACATTCTTGTCTTTAGCCTTAAAGGAAAAGAAATCTTTTCCATTTGCACCAGTTTGAAATATTTCTGAAATAAGGCTCCCTTGAAGAGGATTACTACAGTACTCATTCATGAGAGAGTTCATACATGTAGTAAAAAGACAAATACAGGATTTCATGGTCACTTTTTTTGGCTGATTTGGTTAATTGCATAAAATGAAGGATAAATACTCACAAGCATATCTGTTTAACAAATCTCCTAACTACATCAGAATGCAAAATATCAAATGTCCTAAAATAGACTCTGATCACCAGGCACACAGAACTGAAGTTCAGCCTGTGTCAGTTTTGTTCCTTCCACTTCTTCGGCACTCCTAAGTGGAGTTCTTTCCTACCAGTGCGGGGACCTTTCACCTAACACAAACGAACCTCAGAAAGTGAGAGTTCTGAGAAAGTGTTCCTTCAGCCTTTACTTGGGCCGTTTTATTCTTAAAAGGATCAACTGGTCTTGGTCAGCCTTAGGAAGGGAGGCATCCCTCAAGTTGAAAACATGTGGGGAAAACTTTAAATACCTAGCTACCTTGTCATACAATTAAATCAGATTGACTTCAGCTGGTCTTAGAATTCCGCGTAGTTATCCAGAGCCGTCACTCAAGATTTGGTTCTCTTTTATATAGCTGCATTCGGAGATATTCTATAGGAGGCATGTTTAGAAAACAAAGAAACACTTATACCTGGAATTTATATTCTTCCAAATAATCTTTTAGTCTTGTTGGTAAAGGCAGTCCCCAGATGGTGCTGGTACACTTGTTAATGGTGAGTCTACAGAGATGCTGCAGAGGTGGTGCTGACGTGTAGAGTGGCTTGGTCAGATAAAGGTGAACAGTGCCATTCCGGGGGGCTTCTGGGCCTGTCCGCTTATCCTTGCACATCTGAACATAGTAGTCGATCAGATGAACCACACTGTCAAATTGTTTAAGCTTGGACTTGACACATATGATAGAGTCCAATCTAAATTTCCCATCTTGGTATTCGATGCGAAGATTAGTTGGTCCAGCTGATGTCTTAACAGATATTGTTAATAGGTAGTCTGAATGCGAACTATCTCTAATCAAGAAAGTTCCTTCTGGTGCCTCTTTTAATTTCTCTTTGGCTTCATTAACAGTCATACTTCCCCAGTACCAACCTGGGGTTTTTGTTCAAAAAGAAAAAGAAAAGAGGGTTAAATAGTTATTATAGAGAATTTTTTAAATAGAAGTGTGTGAAAGTTTACCATAGGCTACCATAAATACATTCTGTAGAAATTTACTGAAAACGTGGGTCCATTTAATTTTCTGAACAAACTGCAAGCCAGCTTTCTTTTTTAAAAAGTAACTTTCTGTAACTGTTCTTTGAACTCTTAAGATTTTCTAACACAAAAGAATGGTTGTAATATGACACGCTGGCTGAGCAGGCATGATATTTTTCAAGTGAAATCAAAGATTGAATGTACATTAAATAAATCAGAAATTAGAAAATCCATGCCCCAGAAAAAATGGAAAACCCAACTTCAGTTAATACCAACAAAATTAAAAGCAACAACTTTTTGGCTGGTTGGTGTCCACCTCCACCCTTCCCAAATCTATATCTCTTTTCAAAGCCCTGGAAAGCACCGCTATTTTAAAAGAACAGTTCTAGTACCGTAGCTTCTGTCTGCTGTTTTGATTGCAACTACCTTATCAGCCATTGAGAAATGAGAGAAAGCCCAATGGATAATTAGTACTTCAAGTTTACAATCTTCTATAAACTCTCTTGGACTTCGCCCTAATTCAAATCCAATCACAACCGTCGGTTTCCCTGGCATTCTCCATTCGACCTGCCAGTTCCATCTCCCATCCTGTTTTCAAAAGCAGCTTAGCGACATCTTGCATATTAAACGTTTGAACAATGCTCCCCACCCCCTACCTCAAAAAAAACTGTTCGGGGACCTGCAATCTGCCGGCTCCTCGCGTGCAGGGAAAGCCCTTGGCCCGCAAGGAAAGACCGGAAACACAAGTGAAGAACTATTCCCTCTCCCCTACCTCTACCAAAACTTCACCTCTGCCCCAAACGTAAGCTTTGAGAGTCCCGATTTTGAAAGCTTGCACAAGGTTTGCCAGAACCCGCCCCCCCTCCTCACCGCCCCCATCTTGTTTTCTTTCAGATGCCGAGAGACGATAGAGAGCCGCGCAAAGCGCAAGGCTGCCCCTAGACACCAGCGAGGCCAGGCTCGGCTGGGGCCCCGCAGTCCGCTGTCCTGGCTCTGCGGCAGTCGCCTGCGCGGCAATCTGTCGGTGCCTGAACTTGGCTGCCAAGATTCCAGGCTGTAGCGGCTGCCGGGCCCGGGAGCCGGATGCAGCTGAAGCTGCGGGCAGCGCAGCGCCCACTCACTGCCCTCGCACCCCGCGGACAGGAAAGGCGCCGGGCACTATCTCCAGAGGGTCCGAGCCCGAGTGCCGACCCTCAAGCAGCCGCGGAAAATAGCTAAAGTGCCAGCGCCCTAAGAGTCGATTTCCAAGGAGCCCTCCTTGAGCTCTGCCCTCCTCTGGGCCTTGGAGTCCCTCACAAACCACTTTCCTTTCGCATTCCCAAGGATCCAGAGCCGGGCGGCATCCTCCCCGCGAGCCGCCTGCCCCGCGGCGGGGACGGGAAGCGGTTGCTCCCCAGCCTCGCCAGCACAGCCCCATCCGCGTCTCCTGGGAGGCGCCCCCTTCTCGCACGCATCGCGACGGGTCCGCTCCCTACCTGTGTGACTGAGCTCCCGCAGGGCCTTCGCCAGACGCGCCGCCTCTGGGGACGGCTCCTCCGCCGACCCCGCGGTCCCCCACTGGCTCTGCGCCCCTTCCGCGCCATTCCCGGAGGACTCGAGGCACCGCAGGGTCATGGGAGAAAGGTCACCGCGGCAAAGACAGGTGGCCGCCTGAGCTGGGGTCGGAGAAGGGCACGCGTCCTTCTTAGAAGTCAGTGGGAACCCCAAAACCACTCCCTGAGGGGTCCCCGAAATGGTGGTGGAGGGGGTGGGGATGGGGTGGAGACGAGAAGAGCGAAGAGTCACCTGCGGGTACGGTGGTAAATGGGCCCTAGTGTCAAGGACGAGCAGAAATTTATAAAGGGAACAGACGAGGTCCCCAAATTGGCACCCCTATCTCACACTCTGCACAGCCCGGGGAGCCCCGGAGGAAGCCCCCGGCACAAACCTAGTTACCGGCCCCAGAGCGCCGCGGGGTTCCCCGGGCAGAGCCGGCAGTCCGGGACTCGGAGGTGCGGGAGCTGCGGCCACCCCGCAGAAGAGGCTGCCTCGCTCCCCTACCGCGCTGGGGGCACGGACGGGAGGGGGGGGGGGCCGCCGAGGCTGCCGCTCCCGAGGTCGGGCGGCTCCTGCTGCTGCTGTTGCCGCCGCCGCGGGCGCTGTCGAGGAATCTGCCCGAGCGCGCAGACCTCGCGGGGGCTCCGACCCGTGACCCGAGCCCAGGCCGAGCACGCGGCTGAGAGCTCTGTGGGACATACTAGACAACCAACGCCGAGCCCTTACCTCGGCCTCGATCGCCGTGGCCGCCTCCACACCAGGCAGCCTCCGGCCCGCACGGGGCGGGGGAACCGGGAGGGGCCCGGGAGGAGGAGTGTCTGCCCGAGTTTCCCCGGTTGACTTTTTAATTTGGGAACGAGATGCCCAAGGCGGTGACTAGCCCTGCGCTCAGCGGCGGAGGCGTCCGGAGTTCTCTGCGCAGAGAGCAAACGTGAGTCCCGGGGACCACTGCCTCGACTCTCTGGGCTCAGACACCTCCTCCGGGCTCCGACAGCCCCCGCCCCCCGACCGGGGGCAGCTGCTGGGTTCCCTCCAGCTGCAGCCGAGGAGATGAGAAGGGGAGAGGGAGGGAGGAAAAGAGTCAGGGCGGGAGGCAGGCGGGTGGGGAGGAGCGGGAGATCAGGTTATTAGAAGGATTATTAATCTGGACGGCAGTTTACAGGGAAAAAAAAAAAACAAAAAACAAAAAACTCTGGAGACTTCCAGACGCCGGGAAAGAACCGGAGAAAGCAGGCAGTAGCTCCCAGCCCCCGAGCAGAGCCGCAGTTCCGACTCTCAAGCCCGGCGGCTCCAAACTGCGGAAGCCCAAGCTCCGCAGCCGCCAGTGCTCGCGGCCGCGCCCCAGTGCCCTCCCCAGCCCTCGTGGGGGCGGAGCCTTCGGACTCCCCGGACCGATACCTGCCGCCGGCCCGAGCTCCTTCGGCGCCCCAGCTGCAGGCGAAGGCGACCCTGAGGCCCTGCACCCGGGGCCCCGGCGCGCGCCGTCCGTGGCCCGCGCAGCGCCAGTGGCGGCGGGCGAGGAGGCTCATGCTTCAGAGGAAGCCCAGGGCCCGCGAGCCGCGGCGGCGGCGGCGAGACTGGAGTTAAACGTCCGTCCCGGGAGCGGTGTGTGCGCGCGACTTCCCAGACGTACGCGCCTCCCTCGCTCCCCGCCTCTCTCCCCATCCGCGCTCCCCGCGAGCCCCGCCCAGAGGCTGCGGAGGCCGCTTTCCAGGAACTTTCCAGGAATCCACCCCCACGTGACCGCGGCCCCCGCTACTGCTTTAAAGAGACTCCGGCGCTGTTGCTCAGGCTTCTGGGGGAGACGGGCTCCGAGCGCTCGGGTTCCGACCCGGTCGGGGTGGATGCTTGGGAATTCGCCCTCCTCTGACCCCCCAACGCCTGGGAGTGCTCGGAGACGCGCAGGAGAAGCCCCGGGCCACCACCAAGCCGGTTCCCGCGGCCGGAGCCTGTCTCCAAGCCATGCAGGCAGTGCGCCGGGGTCGAGCAGTTAACAGACATGCTCGCCCCTAGGCCCGCCGCCGGGGGTGTCTTGCCCACCCACTCCGTGCCTTCTCTAGGCCACCTTCCAGGCCCCACATCTGGAAGACGGGGTGTTGGAGAGACTAGAGGTCCTCGGAAATGGCCCCCTCCCGCTCTAAGACACATTCGTGGAGTGAGGGAGCCCCCTCTTCAACCACCCCCTCTTCCAGGTCCACGCCCAGGAGCCGAAGGGAGTGGGCCGATGGCGGTCCTCTGGGCCTGGGTCCTAGAAGGTTGCCAGCGGGCGGAGAGCGGCGCCTGGATAAGCTGCGCTGGTCGCTCTCAGTTCCCTCCCCCTGGCGGGCTTGCTCGCGGTCTCCCGCCCCGGCCCGGCCCTGCTCCTCCCTCTTTCCCTCCGCTCTGCCGTCTCCTTCCGGCCACCCGGCGGCCCTCCCGGCTCACCAGCGCCGATCGCGAAGGGGACGCTGAGACCCGCGCGCTCTGTGATCCGCGTGGCCCGCCCGCCTCCGTGTCCGCAGCCTGAGAGAGCTCAACACTGGGATTTCCCGCAGAACTGGAGCCTGGGGGACCCGGAATGCGGAAAGATCCCCAGCTCTTCTTCCCTGCCCAGGGACCCTCACCTCCTCCCACCTGGTTGGAGGCCACCTGGCCTCAGTGAAAACTCATCTCCCTCCCAGCACGTCTCCTCCCGAGATGTGACCTACTTTAAATGTGACCTACTTTTTAAAAACCCATCAACACTCATGGGAAAACCGGATCCAAAATTTCGATAACCATTTTTCTTTGAAATACTCTTCTATTGCATCACTATTCAAAAGCTTGAAAGGTCAATGGCCACTTATAGTTGAAGCACCGGCTATGGGGAAGTTCAGAATCACAGAGGAAAAGTGTACCCACTTTTCTGTAGTGTAAACATATTTTTTTAATTTTGCAAAGATAAAATAATTTCCATTTAATTGTCTGGTGAAGTGAATCTGCCAACAGCTCTTCTTAATTGTGTTTTCCTGTTGCCTCCTAAGGATCTTTGCACATGCCCTCCCCGCTTCCTGAAATGCCCTTCCCCAGACCGGGTGCACGGCAGACTGTAATTATTCAGGGCCCGGCTCAGGAATCACTTCTACAGTCATTGTCCACCAAGATTACAGCAAACACGATGCCAACTCTAGCAGCACCAAGCTTTGCACTAAAGGAGGATTTTTAACTTTTGTCTCTGAAAGGTCTCAGCAATGCCAAGCATTTTGTTGGCCCCGGGAAGCACACATTAGGAAAATATTTATGAGATTGTGTTAAGTGAAAAAAAAAAACTAGAATGTGTAATTGTATCCATGCTATGCTTTTGACGTTATAAAGTTAAGTGTGCCTGTGGGCAAAAACAGAATTTGACCAAATAAAAGCAGCTGTTTGGAGGGTAACAGGATGTGGGTGAATCTTTAAATTTGACTTTTCTTAATACTGTTCCAGTGTTTCTGATACAGCCATCATTTTTCCAAAACTGCATGAGGGTGTCATTGCTTACTCTCAAGGGGTAGAGTATAGCTTGCAGAGCTGAGCGACTGCCCTCCTGAACCCCAGGTCTGCCACCCATCACTACCCTTTAGACGTCTAAGCAGAATCTCTGGTTTAATAGGTCCCAAACTGCAGCCTGGATAACCCTTTCCCTCCTCCCCCCTTCACAAAAATAAAGCCATCGCTCCTGCATCTTCCCCATCTCTGAAGACCAGTCTTCAGCTGCTCAGGCCAGCAGCCCCGGAGCCATCCTCCTCACACACCCCTCATCTCCTGTGTCAACTAGTCCTTTGATTTCACAATAAACCCAGAAGGGAAGCACTGGCCACATCTCCCCCATGCCATTAGTCCGTGGTTGTTCAGTCGCTCAGTCATGTCCAATTCTTTGCCACCCCGTGGACTGCAGCAGGCCAGGCTTCCCTATCCTTCACCATTTCCCGGAGTTTGCTCAAACTCACGTCCTTTGAGTCAGTGACCATCCTCTGGTTTCTCCTTCTCCTGCCTTCAATCTTTTCCAGCATCAGGGTTTTTTCTGAGTCAACTCATTAGTCTAGGCCACCTTCATTTCTGGGCTTCCCAGGTGGCGCTAGTGGTAAAGAACTCACTTGCCAATGCAGGAGACAAAAGAGACGTGGGTTCCACCCCTGGGTGGGAATGATTCCCTGGAGGAAGAAATGGCAACCCACTCCAGTATTCTTACCTGGAGAATCCCATGGACAGAGGAGCCTGGGGGGCTACAGTCCACGGGGTCACAAAGAGTCGGACACGACTGAAAGCGGCTTAGCACTAACACCTTCATTTCTACCTGACTTACTGCTGCAACCTCCCTCTTGAACTCCTTGAGCCACAAAAGGCTCTCCAATCAGTGAGAGAGACCCTCTTTAAACTAAGTAATCTCACTCCCCACCTCTGCTTTACCCTCAAGTGACTGCATTGCACCAGAGTAAAAGGCAAAACCCTAATAGCTACTCACAAGACTCTGGAGGATCTGGTACCTCTCTGATATCCCCTCCTGCTCTGTTCCTTGATCACAATGCTCAAGTCACGGTGAACTCCTTGCTAGTGGTAGAACATGCTACCTGTGTTCCTTCCTCAGGCTCTTTGTCTTTGCTATTTCCTGCACCCACCACTCTCTTCCTCCAGATAATCAGATAATCTGCATGGTTTGCTCCCTCACTACCTCAGATCTTTATTAAGTGCCACCTTCTTAGTGAGACTTGACTGATCACCCTATTCAGAATCCACCCCTCTTCCCTCCTCTCTTTCCTCTGTGCTCTAGTTTTGTCCCTTGCTTTGATCACTATCTAACCTAGATTATGTCTTATTCATTGGCCTGATTTCCTGTCTTTCTCACCCACAAGAATGTAAGCTTCCTGAGGACATGTATTTGTTTTGCACTGTTTACAGCTTTTTATCTCATCTCCTTGAATAGTTTCCAGCACATAGCAGGCATTCCACAAAATAGTAGAATGAATGAAGCTCCAGCAAAGTGACTTTAAACTGCCCAGGTTTGAATCCTTGCTCTACCACTGCTGACTACCTATGTTATTTTGGCAAATGATTTAGCCTTTTATGGAGGTAATAATGAAGCGTATAGGGCTATTGTGAAAATTAAATTATATAATCTATGAAAAGTGCTTTGACATTTGGCAAATAATAAACATCAGCTATTATTTTAACTCTCATCCTTTTACTCTCAATGAGTTTGAATTTTTCTCCCTACAGGTAAGGTTATCTTATTTTGTGTGTATGAAACCCAACAGTCACTCCCTGGTTATTGCCTGAGAACTTCCTGTGAGTTGATTCCCTGGAGTTCACCTTTAGCTTTAAATTTACAAGGTAAAATAGTGATTCAGTTTGTCCCCAGGTTTTCAGGAGTACGTGCTCTGTTTGGGGGGCAGGTGCATGACAGTTGTGAACTGTCATTCTACTGGGAAGGGAAGGAAGAGTGATTTTCACAAAGCTGAGGAGTGTCTTCTGTTCCTTGCATGGAGGAATTGCCAAAGCTTGAAAATCCCCTCCATGAACCAAACTCAAACTGGGTCTTCTTGGTTTTTTAATGCAGATGTTCTGATACTAGAACTGACTCGAGCAATCAGCACTGAGCCTGCTGAGTTGCAGAGAGAGTTTTGGAGTTTTGTTTGGGGACTGAGGGAATGGCTGTTGGCTGTTGTGTCTGGAGTGCCTGTGGGTAGAAGGTACCCTTTTAAGTGGCCACCATTCCTTCCTTTTAGAGCTTGCCATCTCACCACCACCACCACACACACACACACACACCCCACCCTCAACACTCCTTGTGATTCTGGAACCCACTCTTTTGGAAAGCATGTGACCCCGGCTAGCCAACAGGAGTGCCCCATGCCCTTGGACACAGGGGTTTGTCCACTATCACAGCAGATTAATTTTTAGGATTTGATGTAAGTGCCTCCCCTTCTGAGATTATGGGCAGTAAGGACCATGTAAGTCAACTTTCCCACCACTTGGAGAGCTTGTCAAAGAACAAAAACAACAGAGAAGGAAGCTGAGCTCAGTTCGGAGTGAGGAGGAGAGACTCCTGAGCACTTGAATCCAACAAGCCTGAAGCCGCAGTGCCCTTGGGCTCCTCAGATACAGGGCTGAACAGGTTTATTTATCCCTGCAGGGTTTGATGTGGGTTTCTGTAGCTTGTAATCAAAGAAACTCTCATGGGGCATAACGGGTCAAATGTGGAGGAGTGTGTCGGAGGGAGTAGAGTGGAGAATTGAGAAGATGAAGAAGAAAGCTACCTTTAATGGTAATGAGCATCTATTACTGTTCGTCTGGTGCTTCTCAGTACCCATTCCCTTTGACAGTGTCCTGCTCGCTCCATCCCTATAGTGGAAGACACTACCTGGGGAACAGAGGAAGAGGGGGAGATCCTACTGGCTTCTGTGCTCTGGGTCAGGGGTGTAGCTGGGGAAAAGCCAGGCAGATGGCCCTCCCCTAGACTTCTGGACCCAGGGACATGGTGCATGGCTGTGACCTCAGTCCTTCTGTCCACAGAAGTGGAAGGGAATCATGTTCCAGGAGCGTAGTTGTCAATGTTAAGTCTCAGATCTCTCAGAAATCCTGATCAGAGTGCAACAAACCACCTGCCTATGGGCCATATTTGATCTCCCCCACCCTGAGGGTTATGGGCTTCCCAGGTGGCGCCAGTGGGAAAGAACCCACCTGCAGGAGACATAAGAGATGCAAGTTCAATCCCTGGGTCGGGAAGATCCCCTGGAGTGGGGGCACGACTACCCACTCTAGTATTCTGTCCTAGAGAATCCTGTGGACAGAGGAGCCTGGTGGGCTACAGTCCATGGGCTTGCAAAGAGTCAGACACGACGGAGGTGACTTAGCACAAACACATACCCTGAGTGTTATTGTTGGTCTACCAGGGTTCTAAAAAAAAAGAAAGAAAAGAAAAATGTGAACCAAATTAAAAATTTGGAGATTTCATCCCCAGAGAGATCCAGAGGTTTGCATTCTCTAAGATTTGTCCACACTGAGTCCCATCCCCTCAAGGCAGTGATGGGCTGAAGCAGAGAAGGGGTTGCTGCCTTTGGAGGGCATGTGTCCCCCCATTCTCCACGATCCTCACTTCCTCTGTGGATCCCCAACACTGAACAGAACTTGCTATCTGTCATCACTCTTGCATTGCTGGTTTTCTTATGGTGGAGAAGTATTTTTTTTGGACCTAAATGGAGAAATAAAAAAAATACAACCCAAAGACTGAATATTTCAAGACAAATAGAAGAGAGCTTATTTCTCTGTGGGGCTGGAGCCTGTTCCTCTGCATAGTAGGCAAAATGTGGCCGAGTTCTCACACTGACCTGTTTCATTCTGCTACATTCCTACCTGGCCCTGCAGGCATTTGCATACAGGCTCCATTTTTCTCTGCAGAAAAACGTTCTGGGACTTCCCTGGTGGTGTGGGGGATAAGGATCTGCCTGCCAATGCAGGGGACATGGATTCAATCCCTGGTCTGGGAAGATTCCATTGGCAACTAAGCTCACGAGCTGCAACCACTGAGCTGCCTGCTGCAACTACCAAAGCCCGCTCACCTCGAGCCTCTGCTCCGCAACCAGAGAAACCACTGCAATGAGAAGCCCGTGCACCACAGCTAGAGGAAGCCCACACAAAGCAATGAAGACCCAGAACAGCTGAAAAGAAAAAAAAAAGTTCTGGAGGGAGACACAGATTGGCGGATGGGAGTGGTTATTGACAACCTAAAACCTGACTGTGAATCCCCAGGGGCGAAATGAGCTCAGGTGAGACCCCTTATCCTAGAATGTGGATGGTCTCCATTAAAGCACTTCTGAGAATAAAAGTCTGCTTTCAGCATGGTTCAGGGTGCTCCTTATTGAAAGTGGTCTATACAGGCAGAGAGTATTCAATCATGAAATCGTTGGCTTCGCTAGTGTGGAATAATTTTCTTTATATCCTTTCTCCTTCCTCACATTGCTCTTTCTGGCCATCTTGTTTCCCAAACTCACCAAACCTGCCTCAGGATCTTTGTACTTATTCTCCCTGAAATGCTCTAAGCCTAATATTCTCAGTGCATCATTCCCTCACTTTCTCCAGGTCTTTGCTCACCAAGACCTTCCTTTTCTTATCAGTAATCATTTCTTTCCCCTGCTTTATTTTTCATCCCAGCATCTACCACTACCTGATGTTATCAGTGTTCTTCATTTGACCTTTGTTTAATGTCTCTCTCCCACTAGAAATGTAAAAGGGACTTTGTTTTATTCACTACTGTATCTTCAATGCCTTAAATAGCTCCTAGTCCATAGTAGAAAGGCTTCCCCAGCGACTCAGTGATAAAAGAATCTGCCTGCAATGCAGGAGATGCTTAGGAGACCTGGGTTCCATCCCTGGGTCAGGAAGATCCCCTGGAGAAGGA